ATGATACTTCCTAAGTGCATAACCTTTACAAACTTCATGCTTTTTTCTTTAATGCTTGGAATCCCTTGAACCATCTCTTTTTGGGATAATAATTTTAACCCCTTGAAATTTAAGTGGCCAAATTTTATATGCCATAGCCATAATTCATCAATTTCCTTAGACTTCATAGCAACATTTCTTGCATAACTAAAATTAGTAGAAAGCATTTAGTTGTCTTCATTTTGACATTTTCACCACATGTTTCTCTTGATCATAAATTGTATAACCGAGATCTTCAAAATGGAGTAACCATGCTCCAATTGTGTCTTTTCCCTTCATTTCAACAATTTTTCTATTTCCTAACTCCATTTTTTAGCTAAATAGTCTATCCATGTCAAGAAAAATATTTAGGTGCATTGCCATATGATTGCTACACCTACTATTCAAGAATCATACATCATTATTTTCCATTGTGGCACTTTGACACGCATAAAACAAATTTCTTTTATCTTCCTTTTTCTTCTATAAAATTTGTTTGCTAATTATTTTTTTACTATACAATCTTTTTGTATATGCCCAAGATTTTTGTAATAATGACATTTTGGTTTTCTTTTAAACCAATAATCTTTGTCAACATGGCTGATTCTTTTGCAAATAGAACATCATTGTAATGACCCTTCATTACTAGATTTTTTGTCAAAATTACCTCTGCCTCTTCCTCATACATGTCTACCTCCTTTATAGGAGTCCCCTTTTTCCATGTTTACGATTTAAGGATGTCCCATCATAGCTTTTGAGATTAACATTGATCTTGGACTAAAATGCACTCTCTATAGATTTTGTTCTTTTGAAGTGACGTACCGATCTTTTCTCATATGATTTTAGTGATACCACCAATTCATGAACACTTAATTTAGTGAGATCCTTTTGTTTCTTCAATGACAGTCATAATAGGACCAATTTTCTTAGGCAAACTAATTAAAATCGTCTCAACAATCCTCCAATCATCCAAATTTTCACCATTTGCTTTCATTTGATTTATCAATTCCATAAATCTCCTGAAATAGTTATTTAAATTTACATTTTCCTACTTTCATATCAAAATCTCTTTTAAGAGATTGGAGTTTAATAACCCTTACCCATGAAACTCATGTTAAAGTGTATCCTAGGCTTCCTTTGCTTTTTTTAGTGTTCATTTTATCCTTGAAAAGATAAATTTATTATCTCCTCTATGAATAATTGAAAGTGCTCCTGCATTCTTACTTCTCTTGTCCTTCAATTCTTTTTATTGAGTTGCTATGATATTTGCTATATTTTTTTATTCATCATATCCAAGAACAACAATCTCCCACAAATCTAAATATAAAAACAAGGCTTTCATTTTTACATACTAGAAATCATAGTCTTCTTTATCAAAAATCGGATCTTGGACTTGTTGAAATTGACGGCATTAGTGTTGGCCATGATTTATTCTTTACAATCAATTATTTTTTCAACTTTCCTTGCACCTAAACTTGTTCTAATAAATCTTGCATCTCTGATACCACTTATTAGGTATTGGTTGTAGTTTTAGCTACGTATGTGCAAAGATAAAGGCAAACAAGGTTTCCATTTTTACATACGAGAAATCATAGTCTTCTCTATCAAAAATCGGATTTTGGACTTGTTGACGCCATTAGTGTTGGCCATAATTTGTTCGTTATAATCAATTTTTTTCAACTTTCCTTGTGCCCAAACTTGTTCTAACGAACCTTGCAGCTTTGATACCACTTATTAGGTGTCAGTTATAGTTTTAGCTATGTATGAGTGCAAAGATAAAGCAAAGAACTATTCTAAAAATAGAGGATTTTCATGTAGTAGATTGAAGTAAGGCAGAGAGAAAAACAGAGTAAGAGAATGACTGCAATCTTCTTACATATTTTGGTTTTTCACCAACAGTAATACATGAAGATGGCTTCTTGAACAAGCAAAACAGACAAAACCCAGGTTAACAAAAGTAAATAAGGACCCAACTAAAGTTACTTTTTACATGTTGTTGACAAAGACAAAATAAACATTAAATATTTAACTTCCTAGCACATTAACCATAACAAACTCTTTCTAATAGAGAAAGGTTATGAATTAGATGGATTGGGTTGGGTTAAAACGAAGACCAACCCTGAGCTAAACTACACTAAATAGGGAGCTATTAGTTTAAGTGGGTACTTTTCAATTTCTTCTCTTTTCTTTTCTTTTCTTTCACAGGAGTTAAAGGAAGAACAAGAAGGGGCTGAATCAAGTTGATATTTTGATACAAATCATTCATTAGGTAAGTCTAGATATACTTTATTTATCGCCTATTTCTATCTTGCATGTTTGGATCAGAATCCAAAACCTAGGGTTAAAGTTCCTTGACAATTGACGATTGACCATTTTTTGGCAAGAAAATTGACCTTGGCGAAATCCTTAGTCACAAGGATTCCAACAAGACTAACAACATCCAAAAACTATTGGTAATCTTTTGGTAGGATTTGATCCAGAACTGAAGTCTGTCAAAAGGGATTTACAATGATAAGTTATACTTAAAAATGATTGTTTGGAGTGAGAAGTTGACCCCCAAGAATACAAGGTTTTAAAAATCGATCCGGAAATGGAACCATGTACCATTGGTTTCAGGGTCAATGGTTTGACCGTCTGGGTCAGACAGTTCAAATGTTTTAATAGTGTATTTCATCTTACTCTTTGGATCGGATTATTAGGGTAAGATGGTAGATGAATATAAATGTTATGAGAAGGGAGATGAGGAGAGTGAGGATAGAGTTATGTCAGCTTAGAGAAGGAAAAAAAAAAGAAGACTAAGAGAAAGAAAGAAAATGGAAGAAGAATAAGAACAAGAAAGGAGAAAAAGGCAGAGGTGCTGGTGACCTATACTTGTAATGGCAAAGGCAATGACGATATTAACCTGCTGCCACGATGGTGACGATGACCTGTAGTGGCGATGGATCTCTCTCTCACAGATCTCATCTTTGAAATCTCTAAAATCTCTCTCTCTCTCTCTCTCTCTCTCTCTCTCTCTCAGGTCACACATATGACATCTGAGACCGAACTCGTTTCCCTCTATTTTTTTCTCTTTTTTGTTATTTTTTTAATTTTAAAAAGATATATTAGACCACAAATTGTTGACCAATTCAACGGTTTTTAATGTTATAATGGTTCAACACTAAAACAAAACTGGTACCTTGACCAGTTTTCAGGCTAAACCATCCGACCATCCAAGTCAACGACCGTTTTAAAACCATGTAAGAATATGTTAATTCCATGAATTTGGGAAAGAGAATGATTTTGGGTATGACACGTGGGCTGTTGAGAATGATTTTGGGTATGTCACGTTACATGGGTGGGTAAAAGTGTAACTATCTCAATATTTTTTGATGGAAAAGACAAACAAGAACTGATTAATGAATCAACATGACGTGGGCCCTTGTCCCCAATAGGCCTGTTCATGGGTCGGGCCGGGCTTTTACTATGTATTAACAAATTTTTTTAAGGCCCGAGCCTGAGCCCGGCCCTCATAAAAAGCCCGAAGCCTGAGCCTGGGCCCGGGCCCGAAATTTAGCCTATATTATTATTATTATTAATGTTGAAGCAGCTGAATAAAGAGAGAGATAGATTGAAATTATAAAGAAAAGAATAAAATATATATATATATATATATATATATATTAAATTATAAATATATATTTTAATAAATATTATATTATTTATATATTTTATATAATATATGAAATACATATTATATATTTTATAAAATATATAATACTGAGTCGGGCCGGGCTTTTTTGACAAATCCCGAGCCCGGCCCGAAACACAGTCGGGCTTACTGTGTTAAGCCCGAGGTCAGGCCCGCGGGCCTAATTATATGACCAAGCCCGGCGGGGGTGTGGGCCGGGCCGGGTCGGGCCGTCGAGCTACCCGGCCCATGAACAGGTCTAGTCCCCAACAACTAAAATTTTCTCTGGAACCACTGGCTAGTATCATGCTTAAAATGTCTAAATATAAAACTAAGTTGCTTAATTGTTAAATTTAGCCAAATTATTATATGCCATTGGATATTCCCCAATTTTTGGTAATTAAATTGTTGAAATCTCGCTTGAAGTTTTGGACCGTTGCAAAAACCTTTCTTGAAGTTTGATATTTGCAATCACCTCCCTGAACTTTCTGACACTGGTGCAAGTAGACCCCCTCTGGTAGAATCCTCTAAAAAAAAGGCATAAAATGTCCAAAATACCCATGCAGTTATTATTGAGATTGATTTCTCCAAGATAAAAACAATACAAACTTTATGAAAACAATAAAAAGAGGATTTAAAATTGCAACTTTACCTTTGAATGATTGATATGAAGGGCAAATTTGAAAAACAAAGCAATTTCAAAAAAGAGATTGGAAGGGTTTGGAGTAGGATCCATATGTAGAGAAAACTTGCAAAAATAAACATTTTGGTCAAAATAATTGCATAGCTATTTTGGACATTTTCATGCCTCTTTTTAGAGTTTTCTTCCAAGAGGTTCTACTTGCAACTGTGAGAAAGTTCAAGGGAGATGATTGCACTTACCAAACTTCAGAAGAGGTTTCAGCAACAACTAGAAACTTCTCGGAATGTTTCAGCAATTTACCCTTTTTCCTTTCTTTTTAGGGAGATGTGTTTTTTTTATCGTCATCACTGATTGATTGTCTAGTTGCTATATTGTCATGCTCTGTACTCTACCTACCTTGTTCTTGTCTGTATATATCGTAGTCTTTTCCTACATCATACATTAATTAACAAAATGAATTGGACGACTTTGTATTACAAACAAATTTTCATTCCGCCAACATCCAGGGTAAAAAGGGGGGAAACATTCCACTGGCGGCCTTGATTTGTCATCATCAACTTATCACTCTTTTGATGTTCTGGTGAGTAAAACTAGAGATCTGAGTAAAAATGGTGCCCTTAATTACCACATTGCAGTAGTCAACACCCTTATCAAATTGTGGAACCCGGATCTGCTGTGAGCTAGCTATTTGCAAAAGAATTTGTTACCAGCTTCTCTATCTCGAATTTGCTATCATTTGCAATTGGGTTGTAGACCGATTCTGTGGGAGAAAGCCATGGCAGTTGTAATTCTAACTGCAGTTGCGTCTGCTTCATTGAAACCCGTCTTTGAGAAGTTAGGATCCTTCGTGAGTAATCAGATCAAACTGATATGGGGTGCTGATGATGTGCTAAAAAAGCTGGAGAGGACGTTGCTGAGAATCCAAGCTGTGATCGATGATGTAGAAGACAAGCAAATAGATGACAAAGCATGGAAGGTTTGGCTGCGAGATCTTAAGGATGCAGCCTATGACGCAGATGATATACTGGATAAGATTGGGATTCTCATCTCAGAAAAGAAACTTGATCAAAATACTCCCAGAGATAAGCATGAGGTACGCAATTTGGTACTCCGAAGTCTTAAACATAGTTTACCGCGTAAAATGAATAATCTCCAAAGGAAATTAGATACAATTGCCAAGGAGATGGAGGACCTTCACCTGAAAAGGTCACTCAAACGGATACAACCTGATAAGAAGGAGAGACCACAAACCAGTTCTTTGATAACTGAACCATCTGTTCTTGGCAGGAAAAAGGATAAGAACAACTTAATACAGATGTTGATGTCTACTGAAACATGCTCAGAAAATGTTTCTGTAATTTCAGTAGTTGGTATGGGGGGAATTGGGAAAACAACCCTTGCTCAGATCGTCTACAATGATGAGACAGTACAGAGGCATTTTCCCTTGAGGATGTGGGTTTGTGTGACCAAAGACTTTAGTGTAAGAAGGATTACAAAATCAATAGTGGAGTCCATAACAGTAAATCATCCCCTAAATGAAATTTCGTCAGCTAGGTCTTCTTTTGTCAATGTTGCCGATTTAGACCCACTTCAAATTACATTAGAAGGGTTAGTGAGGCAGCAAAGGTTTTTACTTGTTTTGGATGATATGTGGAATGAGAGCTATAGTGATTGGAATCTCTTGAGAGCTCCCTTGAGGGTTGGAGCCAATGGAAGCAAAATTCTTGTAACCACTCGGAGCCGGATTGTGTCATTAGCCACGGGCTGTAGTCACACTATTACTTTGCAGGGTTTATCTGATACTGATTGTGAGTTGTTGCTTGAGAGAAAGGCATTTGCAAGTGGTACATCAAATGCACACCCACAATTGATATCAACTGGTAAAAAGATTGCCCAGAAGTGCAAAGGCTTGCCTCTGGCAGTGACAACCCTTGGGAGCTTACTGAGCTCGGTTACCAATGAAGGAGAGTGGGATGCTATATTGATAAGTGAAATATGGAACTTGGAAAGGAATAATGACATTTTGCCAGCTCTGTGGTTGAGCTATCTGTATCTTCCTGCACATCTGAAGCGATGTTTTGCATATTGTTCCATATTTCCTAAAGGTCACAAGTTCAGAAAGGAGAAACTAGTCCAACTATGGGTTGCAGAAGGGTTTGTTCATCAGGATGGTAAAAGACGACTGGAAGTGATAGGAGGGAATTACTTTGATACATTGTTGTGGAGGTCATTCTTCCAAATCACTGAATCAAATGGAAGTTCATCAGTGTGTTATCATATGCATGATTTTATTCATGATCTAGCAAAATCTGTGTCCCGTGACGAATGTCTTAGAATAGAGGATGGTGACATATCATACAAACCCTATATCATCACAACAGTGCGTCATTCGTCATGGCTCTGTAAATCCAGTTCTGGTGCAGCTTTTAAGGATGTCCCGAAAATGGAGAGGTTGAGGACAATTCTATTGCAGTGTGATCACAAAGAACACATTCACCCACTCCCCAACCTTCTGGGAACCAAATTCAAACGTTTACGTGTGTTGGATTTATCTGGTGCTCAGATCGAGGATTTGCCATCTTCTATTGGTAGCCTCAAGTATCTCCGGTACCTTGACCTCTCTAGCACACTCATTGAGAGGTTGCCCAAGTTAGTTTGTGGACTTCTGAATATAGAGACGTTGAAACTGGCAGACTGTAAACGCCTTGCCGTGTTACCATCAATGAACAAAATGAGAAGCCTAAGACATCTCTATTTGGATGACAATCCCCAGCTAAATTCTATGCCGCCGATGATCGGAGAACTAACGGGCCTCGAGACAATTTCTCCGTTTATCGTGAGCACAGAGGATGGAAGAAAGATTGGCGAGATGAATAAAATGGCGAGCCTCCGTGGATCTTTCTGCATTTCAAGACTTGAGAATGTCGGCGATGTGAAAGAGGCTATGATGGCTGCATTGAAAGATAAACCACACATTCACCAACTGATGTTAGACTGGAGCAAGGTGCGAGAATGTGACCAGAAGGTTGACGAAGAGACCATCCAAGGCCTTGAAGCCCACAAAAATCTCAAAGAACTTCATATATCAAACTACTGTGGTGAAATATTTCCAATTTGGATCACTGATCCTTCCTACTCCAATCTCATGACTGTGTCGTTAAGCAACTGTCAGATATGCTCTGAGCTGCCTCCCTTCGGGCAGCTTCCATACCTCAAATCTCTCAGAATAACAAAAATGGATAGTGTAGATTGTATCAGCAACAGCTTTTATGGGAAAGGAGAAGTAAGGGGGTTTCCATCACTGGAGACACTCGAGTTCTCTGACATGGGAAGATTGTCAATTTGGTATGGAGTAAATGAAGGTGATTTCCGGCGACTTCAACGACTTACCGTTGACCGGTGCCCAAGGCTAACTGCTCTTCCGGTCGTGGAATGGATCAACTCTCTACCTTATTTTCAAATTCGCAAATCTGGCCGCCTGGAGGAATGGAAGGAAGAACAGTTAAGGCAGCACTCCAATTTACTGGTAGAGAGTGGTCCAGAACACTCAGATTCAGAAGTGACTAATCACAGAACACAATACTCAGATTTCGAAGTTCGCGACCAAAACATTCTGCCAATTACCGTCACCGTAAGGAAGAAAATATTTGGAATATTATTAGCGTTAACGTTCGGAATGGTTGTGGCTGTTCATTTATGGGTGAGTTATAATCATTTTTCTTCCATGAATCACTTGCTTGTTGAATTTATAAGAAAGTATTAGTTGTTCAGATCTGGCTTGGCGTTTCTTCTTCCTAAAAGTTCCAATTTTCCCATGAATTTCAAAGAAATTATTGGGACCCGATCATTTTCCAATCATAATTGTTTGTATTAATTTATCGCTGCTTTAGGTTTTAGGTCCTGATTTGTTTTTTTTTCACTTTTGTTTCTTTGTGTTAATGGATATTCGATAAACCTGCGCAAATATGCATTTGGTTTCACAGTTGTGTGAACGATTCTTTTTCCAAGTGTTTAGAATAGACTGATTCGATCTTCCTTATTCAGGTTTCACAGTTGCAGAAGTAATATGGTGAGTAAGATACAGAAAGGACTCGAAACGCTTGGCTAACCCAGAAAACTTGACCAACGACTGTCCATTCTGTTGGGGACGACGAAGAACAAAGAGACCATCTAACGGCTTGCCTTCATCTTCGTTCAGGGAGTCAAATCTGGCGGCCTGGAGTAGTTGGACAAGAGAATCCGTTGGCTAAATGTTGGAATTGACGTATGAATAGTTGAAGAAAACCCCCACAAAGGAATAAGAGGTGCAAGGATGAATTTTAATTTGTTGAAATGGGCTCTTATGATATAGAATTTTTTGTCTCTTTGTCTTCGGTCTTATGGACTTAAATGATGCAGCTGTATTTTATTCTTATGTATTTTTTATGTTATAAAATAAAGTGGCCAGACCCAAGAAAAAATTCTACATTGTGGGTGCAGAGGATGTAAATTCATTTCCTCTTTATTTTCCTTTTGTAGTTTTCTACCTTAGGACTCGCTCATGCACCAAATTTGTAGTTTGAATTTCTTTAGCCAATTACTAATTTGTTCTTTCATTGTTTAGTATTTGTTAATTATTATTCTCCTATTAATTGTTAAATTATAGTTAGCTTTTATCTTTGGGTTAATTTATTGTGATGTAGTTATTTTTTCTTTCTTAGTTAATTTAGTGTGATATTCATGACTTTATTTTAAGCCTAATTATGAAAAATTATCCTTGGAATTTTGGTAAAGTAGAGGCCGGTTTAACTAGGCATATGTGGGGTGTCTAACACCGTCCCACACCATACCTTGGTCCCCGTACCCTAAGAATCTCTAATTCCATTGAGCAATTAGTCACCAAAAAAAAAACCTTAATTTTGCTTTTTCAAAAAATCTCAGATTTTCCTCAATTCTCAATTTCCAAAAATTTAAGTGGCGACTCCGATCCATCAACTCTATTCCACTCCACACACCATTTTTCACCGTCCCCTCCCTCGGGTCGGGTAACCACATGATGGGTAGGATGGGGACCAATGAAAAAAAGACAATCTCGACGGTTGAAAGTTAATTTCAAATCAAAAGCAAAAAAGGCATGATTCATTTACCTCTATTGTGATGCTAATGCAATGATTCAAATCAAATGCAAACAATAAAATGATTCTATGTATGCCACATAATTAATAAGAGATGTAAATCGGGCCGGGTTGCTCGCGGTCCAGCACGATTTTGGATCGGCCCGGAATGGCATGGCACGGCATGAAGGCCCACGAACCATGCCAAGCCCAACACGAAGGTCCATGCCATGTTAGGCTGGGGGTTCGAGGTCCACGGGCTGGGACAGTCGTATCTCACATGCCAGTACGGCCCGCAGCACGACCCTTCATGGGTTGAGCGTGGCCCATTCAGAATATAGCCGTTGCCCCCCCCCCCCAAAGAGGCCCAACGGCTAGTTTCAGCTTTTAGGGGGGTTATAGAAATACCCCCCAACAGCTACAAACAATCATATTAGGGGGGTATTTGTGTATTTTGCTTATGTGGATTAAAAATGACATAAATGCCCTCCCAACAGCTATATAACAACTAGTTTAGGGGGGGTTGGGTAAAGTAATAAATAACTTTACAATAACCAAAATACCCCTCCCAACAACTAAACAGCAGTTAGTTTTTTTGGGTATTTTGGGCAATTAAATTATGTTCAATTCGACAGTCAACTATTCCTATAAATAGCCCTCTCCTCCACCATTCTCATCACATCAATTCAACAATCAGCATTCAACAATTCTTTTATCAAGTTATTCTCTTAATCTCTTCAGTCATTCCTCTTTCAGTCTCTCACTCTCTCTGTCTCTCAGACTCTCAGTCTTTCATACATTCTCTACAATCTGAGTGAACTCTGATAGTCTCATAGTCTGATTGACTGATTGAATGATTCTCTAAGTTAGCAATTTGGGAGGCTTGGAGCCTTAGACGTTGTCACGTTGAAAGGCTTTAACCGTTGAAATCAAGGCGGGATTCTGAATCGGCAATCCGAGGTAAGTCCAATTAAATTAATTTTATTTTTTTAGAATTTGAAAAAAAAATGGCCAGCTCTTCCCAAAACCCCAAGTTTAGCAGTCCTATTTGGAGAATATTTAAAATAGAGGATTTTTAAGGGGAAGGAGAAAAGAGTTGTTTGCAAAAAATGTAAAAAAGACTTTAATTATTGTAGCAAGGGTAGTACTGGCCATTTAACCAGACATTTTCTCACACATGAGAAGGAAGAAGAAATAACCCATAATTTAAATGAATTTTTGGAATAATGGAAAATAAATTTTAAAAATACTGGGAAAAGTTGGAGTCTCGGAGAATATTTCTCGCCACCAATCCTGCTATGGCACGTGATCCATGATCTACTAACCCCTCCGGTGTCTACAGGCTACAGTTCCATTGGATTCTTGTTTAGTTGTTTTAGTGCAGGACCTGTAGGTACCACACTACCACAGTACCAAGGTTGGGTAGATGCAGTCGTGAATCATGATGCAAAATATAGATTACAATTTTACAATTACAAGACAAAGGAAGGTATGATAATGTAGTGCAAAAATGAGGTATCTACACTGATCAAATACAAAAAAAAAAAAAAAAAAATCTATATATAATCAAATCTCATCGTATTTCAATTTATACGAAACATACCTCCACCTTGCCTCATTTTTGTTGTAGGCAAACCATTTGAAGACCAATTGATCTTACTTCTTGGAGATTGTACAAACAAGAAGATTTTACTAGTTACTTGAGTAGAGGTAATTTGATGAATGTAAACACTTTTTGATTGGTTCATTTTTTCTCTGAATTTCTGAATTAACGCATCGGATATGTGATTTCGCTTTATCATATGAACTTTAGGCTGTGTTTGGTTTGAAGGAAGGAGACTTATATGGGACTGTTTTGGGCATGCCCCTTTATAAAAGGTAGTGGTGTAAAGGGTAGGGGTGTTCACAGATTGAGTTGGGTCGATTTGAGTTATTTTATTTAATCAATTTGGCCTAATTGGTATACTTAATGACTAAATCGGAACCAACCAATTCTGAAGCAAAATCAACCCAAACATAAGGGTCGGTTTGGGTCAGTTTATCGGTTTAGCCGGTTTTTATGTATATATTTTAAACTAAAATATCTATTTATATTTTTTATTACTTTTTAGTTTTTATGAACAACAAACTATATATTTAAATCGATTAGTTTTTTATGCAAAACTGATTTTTTGTTAACATATATTTAAATTTGTACAAAACTGAATTAAATATTGTACTATTGTATTATATTTGTATTGGTTTTACATTTTAAGTTTTTATCATAAATAACCAATTTTTTCAAAGTTCAAACAAAACACAAATAAAATATGTCAACATTTAACATGTAGGGTAGGGACTAATTAATAATTACTTGAACATATAGGATTGGTTCGATTTGGTTTGGTTTTGGTTTTCACGTATAAAGACCAAAACCGAACCGAGTTGTCGATTTATCTTCTAATACAAACCGAAACGGATCAGTGGCTTTGAAAAACTGACCAACTCGGGTTAAGTCAAGTCAGTTTGGTCAGTTTGAAATTTAATATGAACACCCCTAGTAAACAGATCGAATTCGAATTGGATAAGGCAATATCCAAATTCGAATCCAATTAGAAAATTTGATTCAATATCCAACAGATATTGAAAATTAATATTCGAATTCGAATCCAACTAAATATTCGAATATTTGATTCGGTTCAAATTCAATTAATTATTTATTTTAGGTAATTAGTAAATATATAAAATAAATATTTTATATATTATATATAAGAATTAAATAATCAATCAAATTCGGATATTGATCGAATCGAATAAGGTTATATTCGAATTTGAATCCAATTAACTATTCAATATGAATAAAATATCCGAATTCGACCAATTAAATATTCGAATTATCCAAATTTGATTCGATTATATCAAATCTCGAATTCGAAATTAAAATTTCGAATACCATTGACACCCCTAATCAAACGAATAAAATAAAGGAAAATAGTTAAATCTGATCACTATGTTTCATGTAAATAGAGAAAGCTCCCCTCGTTTTTTTTAAATTGGACAAATACGTTATTTATTGGCTGATGTCATCAAGAAAGTCCACTCGGGTTAACAACCCGTCCAAATCTGTATGAATATGACATTAATTTTTTTTAAAAACCGACTTTGCCCATCCACGACAAACGGTAGAGATATCTAAACAAACAACAGAGTGATGCAATAGCTCAATAATGGCTAATTTTCAAGATTTTTTCATGTTTGTTGGCAGGAGCCATCAAGATTTTTTTTATTTCATTTCGGATACATTTTAGAGAAGTTAAATTTTGATGGATTCCTCAATCTTGTATTGTGTATATGCGATTAAGGTTTTAGTAAGCCGGATAAAGTGTTAGTGTCAAAATTTAAGAATACAATTAATTAAAGTTCATAAATTTTGTGTGCATTTGAATGGATTGTAATTATTAAAAACGTAAAATTACACTCCGATGCAGTTTTGTGTGTATTTGAATGGAATATAATTTTACATCGATGATAAATGTAAAACCTCATCACATTTAGAGTTTTACATCGATAATCGATGTAAAAAAACTACATCGATTTTCTGGATGTAAAATAACTTTTTACATCGATTTCAAAATACAACGGTTATATATATTTAAGGTTCAATGTAAAATGATAACATTTTACATCTCTTCAAAATACAACGGTTTTACATCGATTTTCTTGATGTACATACAAAATATTAGATTTTGCACTCTATATATTTAGAGTTGTACTCTTCCAAACTCAGCAAACTAATATAATTTGGTTTCTCCTTTCTGCTATACTTTTTATTTTATTTGACTCATTATTAAATTAAAAAAAAAATACGATGTGCCTAAATGACTCCGGTATAGAATTGGAAGTAGTGAAAACACTAAAAAACAGAGGAACTTGAGTTTGACTTCTCTTCCGAGTTCAACAAGAAACACAGAGGTCTGAACTGAGAAACACCACCACGACGGTACTCTGATCGCCCTCAAAACGTACCAATGGCAAGCAGATACACTTACGATGATTCAGCAGCAACAGTAGCAGCTGCGCCTGGTATATCTACTGTATCAAGCTCAGACGCGTCAATAAACGACCAGGATCGTTGCCGGCCTACCCACCAAGTCACATATTCAGACGATGAAGACTACCAATATGCGTATTCCGACAATTACGACACAGCATCTTCACATGGTGAGAAATACTATGAAGTGGCATATCCTGATGACCAAGATTATATGGATGCATATTCAGACGATGATGATGATGATGAACATGAACATGAAAATTTCCAGGAATTATGCTCAGATGATAACGATTACGACACAGCAGATGATGAATATGATGAGGAAAAGCCAGATGATGATTACCCAAAAACCAAGGTTTCCAGCTGCCTTCATCAACCTTCTCTCACAGGGGAATCTGAACCGTATGCACCCTTAACAGATAGCATGGAGGTACTCATTAGAAAACTGAACTCTCCTCTCTTTAGAAAGATCTCGAGTATGGCGGCTGATTTGGGAGTTGAAGAAGGAAATATCACCAGGTGTTCTTATATTGAAACTCTAGTGAGATTGAAGAAAGCAGTTTTGGGTGTTCGGTTTGAGCTCAGTGATGCACAAAATAGGAATTTGGGGGAATTTGAATTCTGTGGAAAACTCGGAGATGTGGCTTGCAACATTGATAAGATACTGGACGACATTGCGTGCTCTGTTTTGCGCTCAAATCTGACAAAATTGGGGCCAGAGCAAGAATCCAGGATGGTGGAAATTCTCGATATTACCATTGATGCTTACAAGATGAAAATGAATGCAAGCATCTCCGAATTGGAAGACGCAGTAGAAAAATTGAAAGGGAAAACTGAAAATGAATCACGAAGACGCCGGATATTTGAAGCTTTACCGGAAAATTTGAAGAGGTGTGTTTTTTATGCTTGTCTGTTCCCCAAAAATTATATATTTGAGAAGGATACGTTGGTCCAGTTATGGGTGACAGCAGGGTTAATTGAGGCCGGAATAGAACGAATGGAGGATCCTGGTAACAAGTATTTAAGGGAATCATTGTACCCTTATTTCTTCGAGGAGTCATCACTTGATCATGGTTACACAGTACACGATGATGTCTATGATCTACTACATCTACATCCTGGCCATGAATTTGCTAGAGTGGAGCATGACAGATTCGATTGTATCACTGAAAACACTCGATTTTCGTCTTTTCTTTGCGGGGATTTTGGTCCTGAAACTCTTGAATCCTTGTCGAAAGCCAAGATACTACAGACACTTCTGTTACTACATGACCAGAGAAGATGCATGGAGCAAATTCCATCTGAAACGTTTTCAAAATTGAGATTCCTCCGCGTTTTAGATTTAAGTGGGACTCACATCTTGAAGCTTCCAAGTTCTATCAAAGAATCAAAAGATCTGCGTTACCTCGATCTCTCCAATACTCCCATCAATAAGCTCTCGAAATCAGTGGGTGACCTACAAAATCTACAAGTACTGAAACTCAGGCATTGTAAGAAGCTTGTCGAGTTACCCAATACCTTTAGAAAACTCACCAGCCTTCGGTATCTCGATTTCGATGTGATTCACCAGTTGACTTCTATGCCTCCAGGAATGAGGAGTCTGATAAATCTGGAAAAGATGAGCGGGTTTATTGTTGGAAGAGGGAACGAATTTCAAATCCAGGAATTGAAGAAAATGAAAAGGCTTCGAGGATCAATTTGCATTTCCAAGCTCGAGAATGTGAGAGGCCGCGGCGGAGCTCTGAAGGCAAACCTGAGGGGAAAGCGACAACTTCTAAACCTAGAGTTCCGATGGAGTAAGTTAGAGGATTCATCTGAGGAGGTCCTTGAAGGCCTCGAACCCAACGAAAACCTCAGAGTGTTGAAGATTATAAGCTACGGTGGAGTGAATTTCCCAATTTGGCTAGGGGATTCAAAATTCTCTAAACTTGAGAAAATCTCTCTGAGTAATTGTAGGAACTGTACCCGTCTCCCTCCTCTAGGACAACTCCCATCGCTGAAGTCGTTGTCCATGTCGGAAATGCATGCAGTTAAACAAATCGATCATCAGTTTTGTGGAGATGAGTTCATGAAAGCATTCCCAAAATTACAGACATTAGAATTTGATGGCATGTCGTGTTTGGAGGAGTGGACGGTAATCAAAGCTGGTGAAATGCCTCTTCTCAGTAAACTTACCGTTGTTGACTGCCCCAACCTGGTCACTCTTTCAGTGCTTTCATGCTTCAAATCCCTTGAACATTTAGAAATAATTTTTTGCCCTAAGCTTCAATCCTTACCAGAGGGAGGACTTCCAGAAATTAAAACATTGGTTATTATAGGGTGTCCAGTACTTGCAGAATGGTTTACCAAACAAGGCAAAGATAGGAGCAAAATAGCAGGCACCCCAGATATATGGATTGATTACAAACAGGTCTCCACAATAAACACTACAGAGGAGCCTACAGGTATGGCTGCTTCATTCTTCATTATAGTCTTGTCATGTTGAGCAAATAACTACGCTTTTCTTTTTTTTTTTTTTTTTGATCGAGTATACCACCAGTCCTGCAAAACAGGAAAAGGTCCAAGTACACTGCAATACCAGAACCTCATTATGGTGGGATGCAGTTTTTGGTTTAGATTGAGTCCTAATAAAGTTCCCTCTTTCTGAGTGCTTGTATGGCACAACCAGACCAAATATCTACAATCTTCCAATTGCCATGTTGGCTGCAATGTTTTGAGTTTTGGTATGTCTATAATGCATCAAGTATTGGTTTAACAAGGTGGTCTAAATGGTCAAAGAATTCAGATCAACTCAAACATCTCTAGTCTTAGGAAAATGAAGCCCAGTAGACCTTTTCATAAAGGATGCTACGTTTAAAAAGTGCACCTTTGCTCTAGCAGGATTGAACAATAGATTCATCTTTCCACATTATAGATAGATACATGGGAGGCAATTAGAAATTGGGATAATATATTCTTTGCATACAGGGAATACCATCTATAGGAATGCTGAATCTGTTTGTCTATCTTCGGTGGACTATATGTTACTCCAGTTGTGAAGTAAATGAACTTGGAAACTGTAATTACAGTTGGAAATTAAAAGCATAGTTGAAGGGGAAATATATCTGAAAGCATGGGTTTTTGTCATAGGCCTGCTAAATTACTAAAATGCCTTATCATAGTTGTCTCTTGTATCAAAATTTGTTGTTGTAAGGTTCATCTTGTATTAAGATTATCTCAGACAAGAAAAATAAGGTATCGGAGGGCCAAACTTGAAATTCCTTGAACAAATAAAGTAAAACAATAGCATTTCAGAAAGTTTGATAGCACTACTGGCTTATTCATGGATCCATGGGACAAAATCCTATATATGCCATTCTCCATCTCTATTTTGCAGTGAGATCTTTGCATAAGGGGTTACTTGCTTAATGGGAATTAAAGGATGAATCCTTTTCTGCATGATTGATTTCCCTACCCTTCTATCCTGTTCAGTACAGTAGAATGTGGGATGTCAGTGTAACCCTATTTTGAAATCATTTTAGTTACAAATATTACTGTAATTAACCTCGACACTTTAATCCTTATAAGCATATCATACTTCCATGGCATGCTATTGTCCTTTCTCTTGAGCCTATTTTCTGTGGATTTAGTAAAGCATACCTGAGGCCCAGGACCCAAGAATTCTTTTGATAATGATAAGAACAACAACAACAATAGTTATAATAACAGTAGTACTACTACCTGTAGTGCTAGTTTATTTTTTTCAGTTGGTTATTCTTCTGAATAGAGATATAATTATTGATGCTGCAGATGAAAGAACCAAAGCAGAAGATGTGGCAATTGGTCAGACTGAAGGGGATTTTCACAACTTGACATCTCTACTTTGTACGGAACAAAGGGACTTCCTCGTGCAGAACAACGGAAAGCAAGTTAGAGTTCAGGAATTTATGGGAAAATTTGTGGGGTTGTATTTTGCAGGCTGGTGGCACAGTGCAGTTCATTGGTTCACCCAAATTTTAGTAGAGACCTACAATGATCTCTACCATAAAAATGATTTTGAAGTCATCTTTGTCTCATCAGACAAAGACAATGAATCATTCATTCAGCATTTCTCCAAAATGCCATGGTTTGCTGTTCCATTTTCTGATGCCATGACCCGTGATCGACTCCATGAAGTGTTCAAAGTTAACAACATCCCAAGCCTTGTGATACTTGATAAGAAGGGAAGGGTTTCTAGTTATAATGGTGCTTGGATTGTCAGGGTACATGGAGTACAAGGCTATCCATTCACACCAGAATGGATAGAAAAGCTACAAGAGGATGAAAAGGTAGTGAGAAAGGAGCAGTCCTTACTCTCTATCATGACTTCCATTTCTGATCACTTGATTTCAAATGAGAGAAACAAGGTTCCCATCTCAGAGCTTCAACAGAAGGTGGTGGGCATGTATTTCACAACTACTTCTGAGGTGGAATGCCTTGATTTTACTGCAAAACTCGTGGAAGTTTATAAGGAACTGAAGAATAAAGGAGAAAGTTTTGAGGTCATTTGGATCTCCCTAGGTAACAGTCAAGAATCCTATGAAAATGGCTTTAGAAATATGCCTTGGCTTGCCTTTCCCTTTGAAGACAAGAGCTACAAGAAGTTGTATCCATATCTTGAACTTACAACCCTTCCAACTTTAGTTGTGCTAGGGCCTAATGGGGAAACACTCAATTCCAATGCTGTTGATCTGGTCAGAGAATATGCTGCTCTGGCCTACCCATTTTCACAGAAAAACTTAATTGAACCTGAAGAGATGGGGAACTTAAATCCCAATCAACAGTCACTTGAGTCAATTTTGGTTTCTGGAGAAAAAGATTTTGTGATCAGAAATGATGATGCTAGGATTCATGTGTCTGAACTTGTTGGAAAAAGTATTCTGTTCTATTTCTCTGCACAGTGGTTCCCTCCTTGCCGTGTTTCTCTACAAAAGCTGATTAAGGCATACCATGAAATTAAGCACAAGGATGATGAATTTGAAGTGATATACATATCATATGATACTGATCTTGCATCATTCAAGGAATTCTTTTCTGGTATGCCATGGTTGGCACTCCCCTATGGTGATGACAGAGAGAAATTACTTAGTCGCAAATTCAAGATTGAAGGCATCCCTACAGTTGTAGCAATAGGACAAACTGGAAGGACCATCACAAAAAATGCCTGGGATCATCTTATGGTTCATGGTGCTAATGCTTACCCCTTCACAAGTGAGCACTTGAAGGAGATGGAACAATAGGCACTTGGAATATTTGACATCTAGGTGTAGATGGTAAAGCACAGTCTTCATGTGGAGCAAAATTCATTCCTACTAAAGGATAGATCTGTCTTGGTTACAGGAGGGAGATTTATGATTCTACCACATCGAACCTTGAACAAGCTCTCTGCTTACGAGTCACCCAAGGGCCTGGAGTCAGCTGGAAATGCAAAACCAAGGGCTGGTTGATAATCTCAAGGATAGAAGAATCTGGACTAAGAAATTGAAAAAATTACAGAAAGTACGGACAGGCCTAATGCAGATTTCAGATTCCCACTGCAAAGCTATAAACATTCAGAAGGTCCAAAAACCACACTCTATGCACCCATACCCGCCCGTGAATTGCCATCAATTCCAAACTGGCACCTACCCCAAATGTACTTTGAGCCTACAAATTCTGACCATGGGGTTATCCGTTATTCTCCCTTGAAATTAATACTTAGATTGTAATAAGTGAAAAAAAAATAAAAAGAGATGATATCCTTCACTTTTTATTCTCATAGGTGTGGATGTGATGATTATAAATAGGCATTCGTCATACTCAGAACTCTCAAGGAAAATGGATGCCGTCTGTTACCTATTTTATTCCAGGTTGATTTATTTTTTGCATTTTTATCGTATCTGTTCTACATTTGACTCTCATATAGCAAGTTCCATACCCTCTCTTAAATCTTAATTGTTTGTCAAAAAATAAAAACCCCTTGACTGTTCAGTAGTTTTGAATCAGATGTTTCTGCATGTAGGTTTTAGGGGCCATTTGATGGATGGAATAATTAAAAAAAATAAAACATATGAGGTTATTATAACCAACCACACTCCAGCTTCAGCCATTAAAGGAGATCACGACCTCATTAAAACTAATTCACTAAAAGACTCTTTTTAAGCCTGGTTCAAAGACATTAAGGCCATGTTTGGCATGTTTTCAACCCATAGTTGACCAGACCCAGCCGGTCGGACTGTTCTACCTGCAACTCGATCATGATTTCAGTCCAGGTTAACCTAAAATCCGAAATTTATTTGAAAACCATTGATTTAATCAGCGATCCACAGACCCAGGTTGTTAAACCATTGAACCATTTGACCTGATCAAGAAGTCATGGGTGTTCGCTTTGGGGATTTTGAGAAGGGGAAAGTTGGTTAATGGGATTCACAATCCCATTGACCAACCCAAGTAAGTGATACCCACTCCTAGGTGGGTAAATTCACTTTCCCATATAAGGAAATTTTTCTAACACTTGGATGGGACAAAAATGCCCTTTTGATAATGGAGTAGAACCTCAGTTTGGAAGGAATGCAAATACAAATATGTAGACTGCAATACCTTATATTTTGTATGTATTGTACTCCTCCCAAACTGAGCAAGAATAGGTAAGAATGAGCAAAGTAAAAAAAATGTTGCTCCAAACCTAATGTTTTTTTCTTCAAAAAAAATGATTTTTCTTTTCTATAATGATTTTTTCTTTGCAAGAATGAAAATGAATTTAAATCCATTTAGATATAATTTTCACTCTCATTCCTTTCTTTTGTCAACCATAATTATATTTTAGCTGAAGTTAGGGTGATTATTTGTAAGACATCCCATTGGCTTGCTCAGTGTCATGCTTTTGAATGTGTTATGGATACCAATACGATCAATTAAACAATAAAAAATGTCCTTACACAGAGGCAAAATACCATTAGTGCACAACCAATTTCTCAAAATACTGGATCAACTTGTCATGGAGTATATAAGATTTATGTGGTACAGATCATCTGTGTGAATTACTAAGCCCAATAAACATGTAAATGTGAATTGGAATCTCTTTTAAGAGTTATTAACAAATCCTTTCTGGCCAATCTGAACTTATTTTGGATTTGAAAAAGAGACACCCAATGTTCCCGGATAAACACTGTCTCATATTGGTGCATGATGAAACTCTCAAATTTTAAAAGACAAGTGGAACACAATTAGGGAGGTAAAATTAAAAATCCTTGAAATTCATTTGGCCCACAATAAGAGAGTTCAGTAATGATGTTTGACCTAAAACTCACCATGACTTTCATATTTTTCTTAAATTCACCATGACTTTTCAAAACCTCTAGAGAATCTTTGTCAATGAGATTTTACTTTTTAAAACTCACCTTAAATCAAATCACCCTATACAAGGTTTGTAAAGGTTTTTCTACATTTTTCTTCCTTTCCTTACTTTTTCCTTCAAATTAAACACAGCCATCATTAATAGAAGTTGTCCAAACCACCCGCAATCAATCTTATTAATATATTTTTACAAAAAGAAAATAAAATATTTGATACAGAGATAAATTTAAAAAATATTTTGAGGCTTAAGCATAACTATGGAGATGTGCATGTGGGCCGTTTGTGGGGCACCGTTTGTGGGGTGCAGATCTGATCTCTAGAGCTGCTTACTTTGCAAGTGGAATGGGCCTCCTAAAGGCTAAAGCCCAAGCCTCCTCTCACTATACAACCCAGTACTGAATGGCTACCTTGAAACCATTGCAGCACAAGTTTCTCATTATCAATAATAATTTTCAGTTTTGTCCTTCTCATGGTATTTATTTCGTGAAAGACTTTCTTGCTCATGACCTCTACTTATTAGTTACTTCTAAAAATGTCTTCATCAAAAGAATTGAGGGAGGATTGATATGGTTTATGTTGAGGATCCTATGCTTAGTAGTTGACTACTATGTCCCGGTAGTCAACTACTACCAATAGACTGCTCCTAGTAGTCCACTGCATCGCAAAGAGATTTTGAAATAGTTGACTATTACCCTAACAAGACCCTGAATAACAACAAGATAATGCAAGAAATAACCTAAAAAAGACAGCAAGGCAACCAAGCAAAAGGCAAACAAATGAGCACCACCAAGAACACAAAGGATTTACCGCCTACATCCATAAGAGTGACAAAACTTGTTCTCCACTGTGAAAGAAAAAAGGAGAAACAATACAAGTACCTTGTGGCTTGCAACTCAAACCAATCCTTAACCCTTGTATACCCATTCTCCCTTCCTCTCTCAACTCAAAGAACAAAACAAGAGAAAAAAAAATCCACTCTTGCACCAAGAGCACCTTTTTTTTCTCTACCCCTAACACACTCTCGCAAATCTATATACACAAATAACCTTCTTTAACCTGAAGGGGGGCCAAACCAAACGTTACATTAAAATAATCCAATGGCTGTAAAATAAGACACAACCCCAAAAATCTCCACCTTTGCTTATTTTTCAACTACTATGGAGATCTATCATTTGTGCCTCCACTTGTTTACAACTACTGTAAACCTTCATTGGCCTTATAAAACACCAACAGCTACACATAACCTGAATCACTTGGTCCTGACTCTACCTGATTCAAAATAAGATGGCCAGTGCACATCTGTAATTGTACTCGAGCTAAGAGTCCTAACTCCAGAGAGAGACATCAATCCTTCCTTTCTCCTAGCAAGAAATTTTTTTCTCAGCATCATCAGTACCTAGGAAACATATAGCATTTGTCTCTGTCCTATCTATGAAAGATACTCTATGTGGCCAGACTACCTTGCACACTTTGTTTCCAACATCCCATTGAGGTCTTGGGAACCACTGTACTCTCAAACAAATGATACAAACATTTACATTTTTCTCCCTTCATCAGGACTACACCATTGTGTGTGATTTTCATGGCTCCACCTACAACAAAGACCTTGCAACCCTTTGAATCCAATCAGCTTACTAATATTAGATTCCCGTACATCTTTGGAACTTACGCCACACAACACAAAGTGTGAACCACTCTATAAAACATTTTGATTTTCATTGTTCCAACACCTGTGATGTTACGCACAAATCCATCACCCAAGGAGACAACACCCATCTTCTTCACTTGGAACGTATCAAAATATTTGTTCCTAGAGCATATATGCATAGAACACCTAGAATCTAAAACCTACTCATTTAGAGAAAAATTGCATATAGAACGTCTCCATCATCATGCTATGCAATTGCCATGCTTCCAGATTCATCCCCACCAATTTTTCATGCAAGATAATCTCTCTTTATGTGACCAAATTCCTTTCATCCATAACACTGTACTTTGCCATTTTCCCTATTCTTGGATTTAAACCTACTACTCTTAGATCCCCTATTAGACGACCTTCCTTTCTGATCCGCTCCCTATGTAACCAATGCAAAATCCTACCCACTCTCATACTTGGCTTTCTCCTGACCTCAACAGAACATATGTAGTGACTTCTTCCAACTTCATTGTATCCTTCCCATATAGCAATACTATTACCAAGTTTTCATACAAATTAGGAAGTGAGGTAAGAATCAAAAGGGCCTTATCTTCTTCTTTCACCTTGACATCAACTTCCCTAATTGATCGAAAATACTATTGAACACATCAAGGGGCCTCCTTGCTCTCTCCCTTTTATTATTCATTTCTGTGGTGGAATGAATAAAATGACTAGAAGAGATATGGCTACATGGGTCATTGAAGGCTTCTAAGTGTCTTTTGGTGGAACTGAAGTCTCTTGCTTTAATATGCGAGTGACACATTGTATTTTGTTTAGGTAGAGAAGAAACAATTGAGCAATCTTCAAAATATTCTAGTTTGGTCTGAAGTGGTTTCAAGGCTACGAGTCAATCTTCAAAATAAAAGAAAAAAAAGTGAAATGTTCCTAGTAGGGGAGGTCCAAGAAATCCATAAGCTTGCTCTGAAGCACAGATGTAAAGTTAGGAATCTTCCTTTTACTTTCTTAGGCTTACCAGCTGGTGCAAAATGCTACTCTAAAACCATTTGGGACTCAGTGGTTGAAAGGATAGAAAATATACTAGGGGATTGGAAGTCTAGGTACCTTTCAAAGGGAGCTAAGGTAACTCTTTTAAAAAGCCCACTAGCAAACTTGCCCATCATTTTTTATCTTTGTTTCCAATCCCAACCAATGTGGCTAAGAGATTAGAGAAGTTAAAAAGGGATTTCCTTTGGTGTGGGAAGGAAGGTGAGCAAAGGATTCACGAGGTAAATTAGGAAACTATATGTAAGCCTTTAAATGAAGGAGGCCTACGTCTAAGAAGGCTAAAACAGGTCAATATTGCCCTTTTAGAGAGGTGGTTCTGGTTATTCAACTACTAGCCTCAGAGCTTGTTGAGGCAGTTGATTGTGGAAAAATATGGTATCAAGAATAGTGGTTGGAATCCAGGGGCCACTTCCTCCTTTGGTTGCTTAATCTAGAAGGGAATTGAGAAAGTGTATCCTAGTTTTATTCAAGGGGTGAGGCTAAAAGTAGGGGATGTTAGAAAGGTCCGCTTC